TCTAGAATCGTGACTGCTTTTCTACACACCCTAAATCAGAGCCAATAAAATCGGGATCCTAGCAGGTAAACAAATTTACTACTAGGGTACCTGCCAGAAGGTAGGAATTCGCGTCTAGCCTTTTCAACTTTTCGTTCAATTCAGTTCAATAATAGAAACGACGAAAATAAATCTATGCCGTAATATATTCACAAAATTCGACTTGTAGTTTCAATAACGGGCTAATGTGGATATTAATCCATACGCAGGGTATGCTCCGAACTGGTTTCATTACACGCAATTCGGCCCGTCACGATGTTCCGATAAAATCGGATATGAGAATTACGTGTATTTTAATGGGAAAGCGCACCGGATTGGATCACGTGTGCACTTCCCCGCTCGAATGCGCTAATTCCAACATCCGCATTTATTGAAACGTTTAACGCCACTCGTGAAGCTGCATCACAAGATACAAGTTACGCACGAGAACTTCCCTCGCCTCTGAAGTACGCTCTTTAAGAATTTTATTTTTTGTGATGGTCTAAAAAATGTAAACAGTAAGGGTGACAGTTTAAGCGCTTCGAAAGTGCAACCAAGTCAAGGACGCCGACCTGTACGCTATTTAGGTAATGATTCTCGTGCCGCTGACTAGTACACAGTTTGCGAAAAAAATCAAGGTGGGGTCATAAACCACAAGTATAGGAGACACGCAGACCAGATTTAAAATTTATTAGCAACGTTAATTACTGATCTAATGTAATTATTGACTGCACTAACAAAAAAAATAAATGGTAAGTGCTGATTGTATACTTAAGTTTAATTTTTTATTAAAAAAAGCAAACGACATTTTATTATTATAAACGGTGGGACATATATTTAAAATTATCGCTTACAAGCACGTGGCATTTCATTGACGTATATGACAATATAAGTTCTAGGTTATGCTAAAATAAATAGTTATTTCTATCAATGCCATTTAAAAGTGGCTTGTGTGCAGTGTCGGCTCGTCGTAAAAATCTTCGTTTTTAAGTTAAACTCGATTTTTGGACCTAGAATCTCACGACTATTAATTGTCCAATAAACCTTTTTAGCGTCAATTGGTAAATGTTTACAACGTCTTTAATAAATTACACAACCCCTTCTTGTGTCCATAAATAATAGCTAAAACACATGATAAAACCTTGAATGGATTATCATAACTAAAATAATCTAATGTCCCTCGTCGACTTTCTACGTTTATTTGGTAACGACTGATATTCATCAGACTGTCACCATATTACTATAACTTTCGACAAGTAATTATACAAATTACAGCACTTAAGTCGTTTTGAATGAATGTCGAATGGTATGACAGAATTATAATAACACTCATTAATGTGTATTGAACCGGATAAAACAGCAATTTTTATCAAAGACGTCACCCCCTCTACGTCAAACCCCGATTTATTGATATTGAGCTATTACAACCTAGATGGCCCTACATACGCTGTCACATAGGGTTGCTGAACATTGAAAGGGATTGTGAAACCACGTGTTAGACAAAGTAAGAATTAAAGCGCGGTAATTTCCTATCAATCTGTTGCCACATGGTGGTGACAGTCAAAAATGTGAAACATTTTTCACAAGGGACACGTGTGGCCTTCACCGGATTTCAATAACGAAACGAAATTGAAACAAGTAGCAGACGTGAAAAAAATCTATAGTTATTAACGCAAAACTTCCTGCGGTTCTGACGCATGACCTACATCCGTTACGTGATTTCAGACATGGGAATCACACGAAATCGCCCCACGCGGATTTCGGGGATATGTGACTCAATACGACAAACTGCAACCTTGGATTTCTGAAATTTACGTTATTATTAATTTTTCGAAAGAAATGAACATGCAAAAGCAATCGGATGGAAGCAAACGGGAACCCCGCATATCCGTATTCTACGAACCGTGAATCACACATACGTATATACCCGAATGCATTGGAAGTAAAAATAAAGCTGTTTTCATGTCCGGGTGAACTATGACTTTTCCTGTAAGTTGGTGTGTAATTAAGTCTGTATCCATAAATCGAAAATTGCGCTATGCTTAAGATAAATCACTCTGTTCCTACAAGTCGACTCATTGTCTGTTTCTCTTTAATTCGTGGTGAATAATGCGAATTTAATGCTAATCTTCTACTAATGCAGCGGCGTGGCTGAAATCCGCAGGCCGCGGGCGAAAATCAATACTCATGGAAGCTCTTTTTTGCAGCCAGTGATCAGAATGTGCAAATTCATTCAGAGGAACTAGTCTCTTTTTTACTCATTTATGATATCAACATTAAAAATATCCACGCGTTTAATCATCACTGTGTATTTAAGTGAGAGGGAGATAATAATCTAAATATGTTGCAGTGTTTACTTACTACAACTAACCTGGATTGGTTTCGGAAAGTTTACATACAGTTGTTAAACAAACGTGACGTCATCGTTTGTGGGTACAAATTCAACTCAATTGGTTGATATAATAAACTGAATATTTGTACAAAAAATTCTATTTCTCGTTAGGTATTTGGTGCACGTGTACCCAATTATAGCGGGAAGGTCGTGATGGATTTTCAGCTTAAATAAATCGAATCTATGCGTCAATAGGTTTTTATAAAGGCTGTTCTAAAAACTGACTATTCGTAGAAATACCAGAACATAACCCAACAGTAATCTAATTCCAATTTATAACAAGAAAAAACATATATCTGAATTTTTCAGGGTAACTCCCGACGTGTATCGAAGAGTCGAACGACCTCTGACGGCATATAATATAAATTTATCAAGATACCTTGTTTGTGTTTATAAAATTTTAAGAAATTAATATCTGCTAAACACAAACATGGTGCTATTATACAATCATCATGTAATAAAGATATAGTGCAGACACCCCTAGTGTGGCTTTGGTTTACAACATTGAATGTCCCTCTTTTATAAATTTCCAACAGATGGCCTTCCCCGATTTTTTTCAAAATAAGTATTTAAATGATTCTCATTAACATTGGTCATGTTATTTAGCTGTCAAGTCACGCGCCATCTTTCGGAATATTTACGAAGGACGCACACGATTGTCAAAATCAGGCAAACCAAAGCTTTCATTCATAAATACGTCAATTGTCCCCACCTCTTATACCACGTCACACTTCCTTACGGTTGTTTCAAAATAAATGCATACATTATTCTAAACAATACGAAAAATTTAGGGATTTGCTATGATTTTAAGGTTATATCTATCAGCTTATTAAATAATTTTGTGGCGTCATCAATTTTCTGGAGGGGGGGGGGGGGGGTGAGCAAATACATTTTGATCCAAAAATTTACCATGCCTATGATAACTTTAAAACATCTCCAAGATTTCAAGATGGTTTTGTAGTTCCTGATTAAATCAATAAAATAAATTTATACATTCATTAATTTCTTTGGGTCACCTGTATATGCAAATCCAAAAAATATGAATGGAATGATAAGTCACAAGTACAGACTTATCATATTTTGGACATTTTAGATATGATTTATTCAGCAAAATTCTGGGGTGGCGTCATCAATTTTTAGGGGGGATGAGCAAATACATTTTGAATATTTTGATTAAAAATTTGCCGTGCCTATGATAACTTTAACATCTCCAAGATTTCAAAGCATTCGGTATTGCACATTCGAAATTAAATTGCTAAATGTTGTTTCATAGTTTTGATTTTTTTTCCAAAAATCTGGACATTTCGGGTAAAAATTCAATACGGAGTCGTAAACTACATGTGTAGGACAATAAAAAGTACAAAATTTGACAACAATCGGCCCAGTACTTTCGGAGATTATGTCTAATAAAAATCCGGGACACAAACAAAAAACAGAAGAGGTCAAAAATGATTTTGTTGAAGTCCGTCACCGCTCATGACTCAGCAATTCCACTAAAGTTGTAGTAGTTACTCTAGTTACGTTTACTTTTATTATCTTGTATTGTGAATAGGATACACTCTATGAAATCTATACACCTTTCCAAGTCTTATGTTTTATGTGGTAATAACGAGGTGATACTTTTTTGTTAGAATATTGCTTTGACCACTTCGATAACCTCAAAATGACACACAATTCAATATACGCCATTAACCATAATTAAGATTAATGTTGATCACATAATTATCCTCATTCATAGGTCACAAAGGTGATCCGTACAATTTAAATAATCATACTACTTTCACATTGAGACCTAGCATATAATTTCTATTATACGCATCTTGAGTCTGTCTTTAGATTTTAATTTTACTGAAACTCGACACTCAATCACCCAAAGCTACTTTTAAAATCTGGACATTTCCAACAATATCAAAATCAGACGACAAAAGAACAAAAAACCAATCGATTTTAATTGTAGAACACTCAAGTATCAAAAATTGTCATCTGCCATATGTAAAACCGACTGCAGATTTCAAGGTCATCAGTGAATTTCGTTTTTACGCTGCCGAACTGGACCAAGGTGTATACGTCGGCAACCGCAAATACGTAATTTTTAGGAAGCGTGCGTCAATTTACTTTTTTCTCACGGAGAAACACCAGACATACAATATATACCAGTGGTGTCGCTAAGGTTTGTTTTTCGGTGTATATGGATTGCAGAGTCATAACAAGTTGCAAATATTTAATTTTACACTCTTGACAATCATAAATGTTGTAACAGACTTGCGTTTTTAAAGAAATTGTTCTTTTTGTCCCGGCTTTTGCAGGCGTGTTGAATTTGTTTTGACAGAAATTTGACAGATGTCATTCTTATTGGAATCAACATAATCCAACAAATGATGATTTTGTAATACTTTGGATGCGCTTTTTTTCGGTACCGTCGACACGGCTTCCAAATGCGAGATTTATTAGGAAGACAAACCCATGCAAAATTAACATAACCAATAAAAAAGAACTTCAAGGTCGGTTGCCTATTGGACATTTGCAACTTGTCATGGACGCATTATATAATAAACAACCAGATTTTATCCCTCACGCGGAAAATACTTACCACTGAAAAGCATTAAAATGGAAATAAACTAATCCCAGTCCATACAAAAATGTTGGATCCATCCAATGATTTTCAGCTTGTATTTTATAAAACATCTGATATGCTGACAAGGCTAGAAAAGAAATCATTTAATTTACGAAAATGGTGTCCCTAAAAAATGTACCTTTCCTGTATTCTTCTAATAACAAGTGAAAATGTCCCAACTTAACCCAAGTTTTTGGATCTATGCTAATTTTCTTCGAATTTTGTTGAAAATTATTAGGTTCATTTTCATCTTGCACTTTTTGTTGTCGCCTTGCTTGGACAACCATAAGTTGCAAGTACTTGACAGCCTTAAACAGAAATTTTGTGTAAAACAATGATTTGAAAATAAGTCAGGTGTCTTCTACCTTAAGCACCAATTCCCGTTTTTTCTCATTCTCTGGCAAGTGCAAAAGCAAATAACCATACTGGCGGCTGTTGACCAAATTCAAATTTCAACATTAAACATTATAACACAATTTGTTTAAATTAAAATACCTATCCAATTCCGAAAGGATGTGAAGCTCTTGAGCTGTCATACTAATGTCATCTAAATCTTCGGTGCAAGAATTACTCTTATTCATTGTATTCCGATGTTCGAGTTGCACGAAGAACACACGATATTCTGTTAGTCCGACAATTCAGTAAATAACCCGATTTACTTGAATAATGAAAAATACACAACTTCCATTACAGTCGCAGGGATACCGACAAACAACCACAGAATGTGTTTAGACTAGAAGGTTCCTTCGTGGCAAAATATTAGTCCCGATTAGTGGCGTCCCCTGACGGCTTGATCAATATTTGTGGAACTACACCTATTTTACTTTCATTGGGTGACATCTGTAAATTTAAACTTGTATTATCGTAGCAAATTATTACAAAAATTCACAAAAAATTCCCCTGGTTTGGAACCAAATTTTTATGCAGAGAGTTAAATGGTTGCCACGTGGTCGTGACGTGCACGTTATTCCTGTCGTTGTATCACTGGGTCAACCAACGGGTTCAACAGTGTTTTATTTAAAAATTAGGGTTCGGTTAGTGTAGTAGAATTAAAAAAAATGTAAATCAGTATTTACGTATCCGAATTTTTGTGCTATCAAGGCAAGTGATGCAAAATTTCATAAAAAAAATGTATATAGTGGTTATTCAATGAGTAACAAAATGTAGAAACAAATGTTGTGTTTGATTTAAAATTATCAATTAATAAAATTAATTACTGAATATGATTTTATTGATTAAATTTTATATTTCATTAATATTATTTATCTAATTTTGTGCATAAACTACAAACTAAATCCAACATAAAACCATTTTAAATTTCACGGTCTGTCAAACGGTGTTAATAATTTTTGTTATTGTTAAGGTTTGCTCCACGATATTTATTTCTAGTTACTATGAATTTTACTAAAGACAAAAGTACAACAAAAAAAGATTTCACTGCTTAAAATAGCATTCTAAATCATTAATCAATATATTTAGAATATCAAATTTAATTTATCCACAAACATAAAACAAATCTAGACAAAGCAAGTCCTTTAAAACTGAAACAAAATTTTAGTCCTAAAAACACTAAAGTTTTAAATCTGTTTGTATTGTTCTCATTCAAAGCGCTTAAATGAAAACGAATTCATAAAATCAATCTCGCTCAACATAAGTTGCGTTCTTTAGTTGGAGTGAAAGTGCGATTACATAGACCGATAAATAAACACAGAAAGTGATACTTTCTTTGTTAAATGCTGCTCTAACTTCGCTGTTGTTATTATTATCTGTCATAATGTTTATGAATGCAATGTAGAGTCAGAAAAAAAGTCACAAAATTTTGAAAAATCGGAAACCGTAAGTTTATTTATTCTCGTCTGTCTAACCGTATAAATAAATCAATTTCCCAATACAATCGAAGCAACGAGTCAATGCGTACCCGTCATTAATGACGCCGTTTCTTTGCCAATCATCATCTTCTTTTTCGCATTTTGGTGAAATTTTTCATTACTGTTTTAGTTTACAGAACTCTGAACACTGTCCGAGAAACATATTGACTTTATTTTAATGGAAAAAAGATACAGTGGAATCAGATTTTGTCGAAAAGATCAGTTTGTACTTTGTAGAGTAATTGACAATTTCGGCAAAGAAAAAAGAACTTGCAGTTTGTTTTTGATCAAATACATGTATTTCTAGTAATACTTACGATAGTACGTATTTATATCTATATATTTATGATTTAAAGAAATAAACGTTAAAATGTGGTTCAAAGTTTTACAACTAATTGACATATTAATTAAATTAGCAGAAAATCAAGTGAAGCGGCACATTATTAATAAACGATTTCATAGTATATTACAAAAATTGATTTTTTGGACATAAATAATTTGAAAAAAATGTCTGTGTTAGACAAAATCTTAACCTGATCGTGATCAGCGGAAAAAATAAATTAGGAGCGCATATTTTTCATTTTTGATTATCACAAAATGTTTCATTTTGTAATCGGTTTGATTTAGTTAAATCCTACTAAAATTTTGGATAAGACTGCCACGTTCAGCCGATTTAGTTCAATTTCTTTACGTTTGTATCGATATCAACGTGGTATACGATGTTTAATTGTCGACTGACGTGGTATTAAGCGTTAAAATAGTTTCATGCTTGATAATAGCATTCATATTTAATGGTTAAGTTGGCAACGTAGCTTTAGTGATAAATATAGACACAAAGTAGTTTAAATTTCGTTTATTTAATTACAGAACGACAGTTGGGTATTGCAACTGTTGGATATGACAGGCGAGTTAATTTAGAGCAACAGGTGGTTAACTTTTGACAAAAAAATTGATTGATTTTGAATTGATAAAATTCGACTTGTACGCAGTCACTAAACTCATATATTGATTTTTCAGTTACTATACACCCGAAGAAAGCAAAGTGTAAAAATTTATGAATCGTGTTCAGTCTATGTTGTTTGTAGGTTTATGAATAACAATATCTGGTGAACACGTTGTCTGACAGGTGACAACTACACAGACCTTTGCTGCTTCGATTTTTTTGTGTATAATAACAAACAACAGCAATTATAATAACGACACGGATTTATATGATGCTTATTAGAATTTTGGCTTATTCCATTCCACTTAACCTTTGATCACTACAAGGTCAATAATTTCCAGTGTATTTGTTAATCGTCGATCATTTACGCTGTTGTCGAATCAAAGAGACAGTTTTACACTAAGTAGAAGTATAAATGGTATCAATAAGGTTGTGTTTTTGTTGAATGGGTTTTAGGCCAAGGTTGTATAAAACCGCTTTGAATTTTGGTTATGTTCACCTGACGTGCGTATCAGAATCGTTGGTAGTTTTGAGGGAATCAGCCAATCAAAACGTTCAGTTCTGCGTGTATTCCACAAGTCCAGTGGATTATGTGACAATCTCCATTTTTTTTCTCATGCGTCGTGCGCCGTCATGTGTGATGAGGTGATGAACAAGTTGAGTCTGTTGAGTTTTGATTTATTTTTGTGATTTTGTGTTTGGACCGCGTTTAGGTCGTGAATTAAAATTGAGCCACATGTTGAGGATTCCCTCCATTATGTATGTTGTTAAAATGAATGTTTGAAAAAGAAACTAGATAAAGCATTAATTACAAGTTTATATAACCAATTTAGTAAACAAGTATCCAGCATAAATCAAGAATGGTTCGCAGCAAGCCAGGTAGATCTCGAAAACAAGCCCGAAATGTCGCCAAATGTTGGTCTTGTGTTGTAGATCATAGTAAAAAGAAAGGCCCGTTCTAAACGATGAATGTAATGGATGTATCTTCGGTCTTAAATGAATTTGAGTCAGCTCTCCTGTCAGACAGCGGTACCGAAAGTTTTACTGAAAACCCTGTTATTGAACATGACAGTGAACATTCTGAAGATTCTTCAGTATGTGATCTGGGTAATGAAAAAGTGGCACTTTGGCGTTGTAGGTTATGAACAGAGTTGTAGATTCATCAAAATGTATTCGGAAGTGTAATGTGCAGACGCATATTTTGGACAAAGAGGTTTCAGTTGATGAAGACATCTTAGCTGTTCCTTTAGAACCTATACGCACTCATGTAGTTACTGAACCCTCCTGTGGAACACCTTTAGTTTTCGAAGACAATGACACCCAAATATTTAACAACAATTTCCCTAAATTTCAAGATCAACTTACACTTCCGTCAATTTTACGAACCCAATCTCCAAGTTCTACTACAAATAGAAAAGTTTCGTTTCCTGAGGGAGACATGGAACTTGCTACTTATAGAGAACCAGAAAATTCGTCTCCATGGACCATAAGTAAGTCAAATTTAGTTGGATATCAATCCTGCTTTTTATAAGCTACAACCTTGCATATTTTGTAGCTTATCAGAAAAAGTCTCAACGTTTTTTCTATTGTTTTTCTTGCCATTCGTGGAAAGTTTCAGCCATAAACACGTCCTGCTAACAATGGTTTTTAATTGTTAATGACACAGTATAAATTTATAATAAACGTAATGGTTCTGATTACAAAAAATCAATCTCAACAATTCATTATCGTTTTTATATTTATACATAAGGTCTAGAATTTTTAATAAATCGCACAGAAATCGTCTTTTTATCGAATATCTAATTTTTATGTTTCACGATAGCACGTAGAATACGAAACCACAGATTTCCCGCTTGCATTTGTCAGTTGGAATTTTTTTAATATAGTTTTATAATTATAATCTAAAAATGTGTATTTTTGTCATTTTTGTTGTATATTACAGTGGCGAGTTTTAACCAGAATTCAATTTCTAGCGTCATTTTGACTTGATGACGTCATTCGGTAGTGTTTGTAATTTTCTAAATAATATAAAATATCTTACGATAATTTCAGAGATTATTTTTACTCAAAAAAAAGCTCTAGTTTAATACAGAGTAATTTCTTGTCTTTTTTCTTAATATACGTAGTCGTCTTTTCAGAACAAGAAACTTAAAACATGGTTAAAATTGTAAATTTGTATAGGGAAATATCGATTTTGCAATTACGCTCCGCCCCTAGATCTGACAACGAATGAAAAGTTCATCGCGATTGAGATTGAGACGGATGGGTGGGGCTTCTGTTTTGGTTTCATTTTTTAATTAATAAATTTAGTTTTATTTGTATTTTACTTAAAAACACAGGTAATTTCGCGTAGAAAAATAAAGATTTTACAATTAAGTTCCGCCCCTCGGCTAACGACGATTAAAAAAATCATCAGAATTGAGATAGGGCGGATGGGCGGGGCTTATGTTTTTTTTCTTTTTAATATACATAGCCATCTTTTCACAACAAGGAACTTAGAACATGGTTAAAATGGTACATTTTTGCAATTATGGGGCGGAGCCTAATTGCAAAATCGATATTTCCTTCTACAAATTTTCCATTTTAAACGTCATGTTATGAAAAGAAATCTACACATATTAAAACAAAAAGACAAAATGTAGGCCCGCCCACCCGCCCTATCTCAATTGTGATGATTTTTTTATTCGCCGTGAACTAAAGGGGCGGAGCTTAACTTGCAAAATCCGTATTTCTCAACAAGGAATTAAAAACATGTTTTTGAGTATCGTGTTGTTCAAAGAATACTATGTGTATTAAGGGAAAAAAGCCAAAATATAAACCCCCCACCCACCTTTCTCAAATGTGATGATTTTTTTTATTCTTAGAAACTTAAAGCACGTTTAAAATGCTATTTTTTTAAGGAAATATGGATTTTGCAATTAGGCCCCTACCCTAGGGCTTAAGTTTTGGCATTAATTTTTTCGTACTATATGTACATAGTATTCTTTGAATAACACGATACTTAAAAACATGTTTTACATGGTAATTTCTCGTAGAAAAATAAGGATTTTATATCTAAGGTTCACCTCTCGGCTTACGACGAATAAAAAAATCATCAGAATTGAGATAGGGTGGGTGGGCGGGGCTTATATTTTGCCTGTTTTTTAATATACATAGCCATTTTTTCACAACAAGTAAACTTAGAACATAGTTAAAATGGTACATTTTTGCAGGGAAATAAAAATTTTGCAATTATGGGACGGATCCTAGTTTCCTTATACAAATTTTCCATTTTAAACATGTGCTAAATGTCATTTTATGAAAATAAATCAACACATATTAAAACAAAAGGGCAAAATGTAAGCCCGCCCACCCGCCCTATTTCAATTCTGAAGATTTTTTTTATTCGCCGGGAACTAAAGGGGCGGAGCTTAACTGCAGAATGCTTATTTCTTTACAACGAATTAAAAACATGTTTTTGAGTACCTTGTTGTTCAAAGAATACCAAGTATATTAAGAAAAAAAAAAGCAAAATATAAACCCCGCCCACCCACCCATCTCAAATGTGATGATTTTTTTTTTTAGAGACCTAAAACACGTTTAAAATGGTATTTTTTTTAAGGAAATATGGATTTTGCAATTAGGCGCCTCCTTCCCTAAGGCTTAATTTTTGGCTTTAATTTTATCGTAAATGTACATAGTATTCTTTGAATAACACTATACTCAAAAACATGTCTTACTTGGTAATTTCTTGTAGGGAAATAATAAGGATTTTGCATTTAAATTCCGCTTTTGATGATTTAAAAAAAATTATCACAATTGAGATAGGGCGGGTGGGCGGGGTTTATATTTTGCCTTTTTTCTTATATACGATAATATTTTCAGAACAAGAAAATTAAAACATGGGGAATTCGTCTCGACAAATATGGATCTTGCAATTAAGCTCCGCCCCTCGGCTTACGACAAATAAAAAAATCATCAGAATTGCGATAGGGCGGGTGGGCGGGGCTTATATTTTGCCTTTTTTTTTTCTTAATATACATAGCCATCTTTTCACAAGATAGAACAGGGTTAAAGTGGTACATTTTCACAAGGAAATATGGATTTTGCAATTATGGGGCAGAGCCTAATTCCAGTTTCCTTATACAAATTTTCCATTTTAAACATGTTTTAAATGTCATGTTATGAGAAGAAATCTACACATGTTAAAAGAAAATGGTAAATTGTAAATCTCAATTGTGATGACTTTTTTTTATTCGTCGTGGACCAAAGGGGCGGAGCTTAACTGCAAAATACTTATTTCTGTACAAGAAATTAAAAACATTTTGCGTATCGTGTTGTCCAAAAAATCTTTTGTATATTAAGAAAAAAAGGCAAAATATAAACCCCGCCCACCCACCCATCTCAAATGTGATGATTTTTTTTTTTACAAACCTTAAACACGTTGAAAGTGATATTTTATTTTTTTTTAAGAAAATATGGATTTTGCAATTAGGCTCCTCCTCTAGGGCTTAATTTTTGGCGTTAATTTTTTCGTAAATGTACATAGTATTCTTTGAATAACACGATACTCAAAAACATGTCTTACATGGTTATTTTTGTAGAGAAATAATAAGGATTTTGCAATTAAATGCCGCTCCTTTGGCTCTCGACGAATAAAAAAATCATCATAATTGAGATAGGGCGGGTGGGCGGGGCTTATATTTTGCCGTTTTTTTTTTCTTAATATACATAGCCATATTTTCACAACAAGAAACAACAGGGTTAAAATGGTACATTTTTGCAAGGAAATATGGATTTTGCAATTATGGGGCAGAGCTTAATTCCAATTACCTTATACAAATTTTTCATTTTAAACATGTTTTAAATGTCATGTTATGAAAAGAAATCTACACATATTGAAACCAAAAGGCAAAATGTAAGCCCGCCCACCCGCCCTATCGCAATTGTGATTATTTTCTTTATTCGCCGTCAACCAAGGGGGCGGAGCTTAACTGCAAAATACTTATTTTTTTACAAGGAATTAAAAACATGTTTTTGAGTATCTTGTTGTTCAAAGAATACTATGTATATTAAGAAAAAAAGGCAAAATATAAACCCCGCCCACCCACCCGTCTCAAATTTTTTTAATCTTAGAAACTTAAAACACGTTTAAAATGGTAACTTTGTTTAAGCCCAGTCGCTACGTTTTCTAAGTAGAATTTTCGGTCTATTTTCAGAATGTAATGTCTCCGTTTTTGACAGACCTATGAAATTTTAAATATATGTTGTCTACAACTTTCTTTATATAACGCAAGGGCAATTTTGGTGATCTTTTTTTTTATTATTTTAGTGAAATTTTTGAAAACAAATTTTCTCGATTATTAAAGGAAATTTCAGAACACGATTTTCAACACTGTTTTCAGCTTACAAAACTCCAGAAATCAGATATATCGTCAAAAAAAAGCTTGTGTCACAGAATTTGCCAAATTTTTTTTTTTACTATATCTCAGTCCCAACAAATACGAGTCAAAAGTATAATACCTAATCCGATTTCTAAGGTTTTGCAAGCTGAAAACAGTGACAATAACCCCGTTCCAAAATTTCCAAAAATAACTGAAATATTGATTTTTTAAAACACGTGCTGCAAAAATTTCAACAAAATTAAAAAATATATGATAATAAATTGTTTAAAAAAAAAACTGTCCTCGCAGTTACGTAGTGAAAGTTGTGGACAAGTTACATTTAAAATTTCATAACCATAGGTGTGTTAATAATGCAGATATTACATTCTGAAAATAAATTGGCAACACCATAAGATCCAAACGTAAATAGGGTTTTGCAATTAGCCCCCCCCCCCCCCCCCCCTAGGGCTGCCAACGAATGAAAACTTCATTACTATTTAGATCAGGACAGTTATAGGTGGAGGTTAATCTATGGCTTTAATTTTTTCTTAATATACATAAAAAAATGTCGTACATGGTAATTTCTTGTAGAGAAATAATAAGCATTTTACAATTAAGCTCCGCCTCTCGGCTTACGACGAATTAAAAAAATCGTCAGAATTGAGATAGGGCGGGTGGGCGGGGCTTATATTTTGCGTTTTTGTTATTCTTAATTCGTGTATATTTATTTCGACAACAAGAAACTTAAAACAATAGAAATTGTGGTTTTATGACTTTGACTTTTCCGAGCCCCTTTTCAGGATTCAAACGTATACCAATTATGATGAAAACAAAAAGTTTGTTAATTTAATTTATTAATTAAAAGTTAATCACTACACGTGTTCAGAAGTGTAAAAATATTTAAGAATACTCTTCTAACAATTAGTTATTTATCTCAAAATTACGGCAAATGGGAAACCTGAATTTTTGTATTTTACAAACATGAAACTGGATAGATATTCATTTAATTGACGATAAAACATTCTATAGTGTTTAATTTGTTATTAAACTGATTTTTGGTGGATATAGATATCTGTACTAATAACGAAACATTAATAAAATAAACTCGAGTGATTTGATATTATGCTGATAATTTTCATTATGAGCAGGTTTGTTGCCGAAGCACTTTGAGAGCTTCTATACATTACGATGAAGACCTATCGTGTGAAATTTTATCCGTTGTTGATGTAGGCAGTATTCCAATGATTTCTTTCTAGTTAAATTACTTTCTTCTTGTGTGGGTGTACGTCAATTCTGATTTGATGTTGTATTGTAGATCAATATTTACCCCCTGAAAAAATCCTCCAAATTTATCAGGCTTCGTGTAAACAACATAAAACCATTGAATTGGATGCCATAAAAAACACGATTTTGGTAAATGCGTCATTACTTGCTTATATATGGTGAAAACGAGTCGTTTTATAGGACATAAAAAATAACACAAACCGTTCGGCAGTATTGAATTTATCGATGATCACCATTACGAATGAAGTGAATGAAACCCTTGAAGATATTTTGAGAGTCGCCAATTTCCGGACCTTGGTGTTGTATGAATGCAAATTTACAGCAGAAACTATAAGCGAATTCTTAAACATGTTGGAATACTATGAATCGATTTCTGATATTGAAGTTTCTATGAATTTTGACGAGACAGCGTGGAAATGTTTCTGTAACGCTTGTACGAACATTCTGGTATTGGAATCCATATCGTTCCGCGGTATGGTGATTAACGAGAATTACATGAGAATGCTACTTAATGTCGTCAAAAATAACATTGGTATAGCTACACTGAAATTTGATGCTTGTATGTTAATTAAGTTACCGTCGTTTTACTTAGGTAAGAGCGTCTATACCTGACGGAGACAATACTTAAGTCATATGTTTCAGTGGAAAATCTTATGACTAATACAACTCTCTGTGAATTGTACCTACCTTCGACTGGACTATATACAAAAGAAGCAGATTGCTTAGGTCGTTTTTTGCGAAAAAATTTATCCTTGAAAGTTTTGGACATTAGTAACAACTTTATCGGCGACCGGGGTTTGGAAGTTCTCGCTAAAGGCCTCACCAAACAGACGATTTCAGGCTGCGGACTTTCGGTTTTAATAGTTTTCAATAACCAGATTACGGAAAAAAGTGGACCAATTATTAGTGATATTATTGTAAGAACGCACAGCCGTGCTTTAATATGACATTTTTATTGTATTTTTAGTCAGAATGTAGAAACTTACACACATTGAACGTGGGTTTTAATAACTTGACAGACGAAGTCATCGCAAATATTGGTCCGAGCCTGGAAGTAACAACATCTTTGGAAGGTTTAGGACTTCAGTGCACCCTTCTGACGTGCAAAGGAATTGACTTTCTGTCTAATGCAATTGAAAATAATACTTCGTTACAAGTAAGACACCTAATTAATCTAGAACCACACTATATTTTAAATTTCAGAAAATAAACTTAAAAGGAAACAAAGCCATTCAGGTTGGTGGTTTGGAACGGCTATGCCAAGCACTAACTTCGTCAAAAATTTTTAAAATCGAGATCGACGAAACCAATCGTTCAGCTCAGGTAAGTACGAACCTTGCGCTTACACCGTGACAGTTTGACATTCTAGGACCCACAAGCCTATGTGCAGCTAGTAAAAAAGATGAACGCCATTTGTACAGTAAATAAAGCATTTAAGGAATCCAAGGAATCAAATAGTGACGAAATCGCCAATGTATCGCAGATGGTCTCCCGTAAAATGTCACTGAGTTGTGAGCCCCGATATGTCATACCGAGCACACCAGCCACTACAGTACAAACAGAATCTCCAGTAATGTCTTCTCGAAGTTCGAGAAATCGCTTTGAAATTACTAAAGTGCACGATTCCACTGCGCGTCCTATATCTAGGTTTAAAGTGACCCGAGTGATTTCCTCGTCAGATGAAGACTTATCAGTGGGAAAATTTGCCAGTGTCCGTAGTAGTGTATCTTCAAATGACAGCGTCGATTCCCTACAACTTGACACTGATCAGGAATGAAAGACTAGTTAGGCAAGATGTTTCGTATTAGTTCTGTGATAACAATTTTATATACTTACACTACTTAATTTAATTTTTGTTATCGTTCGTTACGTTGAAATATAAAGATTATCTTTATCCATTATTCTGAACGTTGTTGTTTCAATCCGGACCCGTGCGCATGTCCAGCTTTACAATAAACTGAAGGAACCAATCAAATTCCCGCTATGTACAAATCACAATATAAGACACCACCACAAATAAGAAAACTTTTTGAGTTGCCGTAAACCATGACCTAGAGCGTGCGGTTGGCATCACTAGTTTTAAAAAAATGAGATTACACCAATGAAAGCGCTTAAAATTGGTTAGTTTTTACACGATGCATACAATTAAACGACCACCGCAAATGAACGCTAAATTCTGGGTATGATAATGACATTGAAACAAAAACTTGTCGTTTTATTCAGTTGTTAAAAGGGTTTAATGGCTGAATAAAACCGTAAATTATGGAGTTATGGTTATTATAATTGCATATTTCTTTACTTTTAAATGGAATTTTAGTTACAGAGTAAGCAGTAAAATTTAACTGTTATTCGAATAAATGAAAAACTCAGATGACAAAATAAAGCAGATTTAACGTGATCATAAACTGTTATTGTTTTTATTTTGAGATCTAATTAAGTAACATTGTTTGCAAATACTTGTGCTTTTTTCCAATTATAATGACTGAATTAAAGAAGAAATCTTGCTTCATAAGGTTTACACTTCTGCGCATGTCAAGTTTATCGTATTTAATTAACTGTAAGTATCTTAATATTTGTTAAATTTGTCATAAGCTTTTGCAATTGCCGCAGAATTGAGTCAAATATGTTATATAAAAGTCAAATACAAAAAAAAAACGGGTGCGGTGACGTCATCGAAACTGTTGTGACATTTTAACTGCGCAGAAGCAACTTTGCGTTCTGTAACATATAACCAAGTGCGCATGTCCACAACACGAACTCACTATTTTAACTTAAGACTTGTGTTAAAGACGTGGCAGATGTCTCTGGTTATACTGATATGGTGTCTTCCAACAATCAATGACCAGCTTTGGAGAAATTTCGACTAAGTTGTACAGACTTAGCTAATGGTCGGTTTAGATTTTGTTAGGTAATAGTGACACTTCGACATATGGTAAAACTTAATAATGTATTACTGTAGTTTTAATCAGTGGTTATACATTAATCGCTTGGTCTTAATCAGTATAAAACTTCATCAATTCGAAACTAACATGTAAAACTTAAAAATGTATTACTGTAGGTTTTAATCAGTGGTTACATTAATCGCTTGGTCTTACTCAGTATAAAATTTCGTCAATTCGAAACTAACATAAGTATATACATGCAAAAGATTCACTACAGAGATCAATTAGTCACAAAACCTTGCAACATGAAATGTTATTTATAAAACTTTATTAAAGCCGTTAGTAACAGTTTATGCATCAATGATGGAACCTGTGTTTAAGGTGTTAAAAAAATAAAACTCAACATTACATAACACAAACTATGCGAGACAACTTATGTATTGTAAGATCACTTTAAATATGTACTAATACAATTTTACAACTTTAGTCAACCCAACCTGCAAAATTCTAAAACCGCAGCTTATTAACCAAATAATCTTAATGATGTAAAGTTTTAGTATAGATCTAAAGTGATCTTAGAATATTAATTCATACAACTGAAACCTGGAAAACTGGTTGAATTCGAAATTCCGGCTTTTGTTAAAACACACTAAAGCAAGTATTAAAAAATAAAGATACGTGAGTTCCTAAATAAAGTGCTTTAGTGTATTTTGACGTTTATTACAAATAAAAAATAGATTCTGTCTGCATATAGTTAGGTCAGTATATAATAAAAAAATACAAATAGTTGTAAATATATGCTAACATAATGACTTCATACTGAAATATATAAAGCAAAGGAATATACATAAATTTGAGCACCAAATAAAATTAGAATAGAAAAATCACCTGTTTTATTAGGTGTATAATTACAACAGAATTGTTCAATAATCTAACGATAGACAAATGTTCGTTTTATAACTTAAAGCAATCTCACAATGAGATGACATCAACTAACTAAATCTGTGAATAAACATGTGCGCACTAATAAAAACTACTGGAAAAATTAAAGATGTAATAACGTTGATTTAAGTAAAAATATTATTCACATATTGTATCTGCTACAATAGCTATTACGTCATAGATAACATATTTACATGCGTGTAATAACTATCAATCATAGCTAATAACAGTGATTCACAATATTTTATATATCACGTAACGAAATCATCACTATCCAAAGCATATATAAAACTAAATAGTGTGAACTAACGGAAAAAACATCCAGTCACTTATCACTTTGTTGGCTGCAATTAACACACATCGTTTATCAATCTGGATCAACATTAATTGTTCATGATATGGTAATGGTAAATTATGGAAAAATTTATACCTAGTGTGCTTCACATGCACGACCGACCGAATGCGTTACAATTTTTCTCCAAAATATATTTTTATATAAAACGTGTTACGTTAGAAAACAGGGCACAAGGTATTTATAAATGGAATTATAAAATGTGTACGCCTACTTTACATTTAAAACCATTGTATAACTAGTAACAACGACATAAATAATCATAGAAAAAATAAAGAAAAATAGGCAAACGACAGCCACATTGAAACACTTTAAAGGTGCACTTTTTGAACGTCATATTCCCTAATAAACTTTAAAACAACAAACGAGATTTACAAGTCCTCAGACTAATTAATGTGTGAAATTACAACAATTACACTACTCACAGTTCTACTACGTTGTAATATGGTGGCACTTATGCGCCGCAGGAGCGTGAATGTCGCATTATTTGTTCGCGAAATTGAAAGGCAGCCGAACCTTCCACTAAATATATATATAAATATATAATAATATCTCATGATTATTACTATACATGTTTCTTACAAATGTACATGGCAAAATGTGAAAATTCAATTTCTTAAGGTATGTGTATAGACAATGTAAATAAAATTTTGTTAAATAAATTATATAAAATTATTACAAATAACATGCATATGATTCACAATTGCACTACTTCAGGAATTGACTTAACTTAAAATCAATATTCTATTTACACCTCACCATATTCGGATACGAATACGAAATAACAAGGGTCACTAACCGTTCTCTTCAGTTAATTTGACAATTATGTAAGAGAAGGAAGACAACACATTATTGCACATTACTAGCTAACTACTGGAGGATACATTTAAGGGTTCTGCGGGAGTGAGGGGACTACTCTGACTGCTCGTGCTGTGGGGCGTGAGGTTACTCCTCGCCATCACTTTCTGTCTTACTTCGCGGATCTTCAGCTGCAAACTAGCTTTACTTGGAAATATATCCGAATGCAGCGATTGGAAATTCGAGGTCGCCTGAGCCGACGGGAAATAGGTATGCTCTTGAAATAGTTGCATCACTAACTGCCTCCTTTGTTCCAAGATCTTCCTGTGTCCCTTTTCCGACTCCTTCGACGTGCCCGGGGTACGAGGGGTGCGTGGGGAGTTCGCGTCGCCCATTTCGGTCATTTCTAAACAAATCTTTGAAATAATCGAACAAGAATGACGAAAAGTACTCACCGCGGACGCTCTCCATGCTGAAATCGGGACCAAAAAACACGGCAGGCTTTAACGAAGATGCCGACTTTGGCACAGATTGAGGAGTTTCTCCTTCGGATTCTTCGTCGATCGACGAACGATGAGTCGCGCTAAGATTCCGTTTCTTATTGTATACGAAAAGGCCAGGGCTTGATGTGGAAATGGCACTTGGTGATTGACATTCTTCGGGCTTGAACTGAGGAAGGGAACAAAATTTTTTCTCGAAGTTGACTTGCTCCAAAACTCTGCAAAACACACTATTATGCATGCTCTCGCCATCTTGGTACCGCTTACTTGTCCATTCCGTCTTCTTTATTTCGCTTAAACAGACTTTTCTTGGTTACAGGTGAGATCAGAGGACAGTCCGATAATGAGTTTTCCATACTGGGAGAGCGCAAAGGGACAGATGCATTTTCAGCCAGAGATTGGTTATTTGAAGGATACAAAGCTACAAAATAAAAATTGATATTGATGTTGAAATACGAAATTAGTCAAGACGTACCCATAGACTGTCGCCTTTGCAAAGGCGCTTTCCCCAACTGAGCCGGCGTTGGTGCCAATTTAAACTCTTTTTTGGTATCCGAGGCGTCGGGATTGTGACTTTCTGACAAAGAAAGTTTCTGGTCTTTATCTCCACACTTTGAATCTTTGTTTTCCAACTTTATAAACCCGCCTGTAATTTAAAAAGATCTACAGTAATGAAGATTTCGCTAACAGTGACTACAATGATTCAATGCATTCTACAATACATATAGTTGTAGCCAAAGAATGCACACCAATCTAGTTAAATAGTTCATATATTCGAACAAGTCCGTGCTTTAACAATCGCAAATCAAATTAAAGTTTACGATATACAGGGTGACGCGGTCCGCATGTTTAATATATGTGAAAATCGTTTAAAACACAGGTCACCACTCAGTTCGATAGACGGGCTTAAACAGTACTATGCATTTTTTGTGAATCTTTAATACATTGTAGACACATTTTGCACACTTCGGCTCTCATTCAACATTCCATTCCAAAAAACTACCATCACAAGCCCGGTATTTGAGTCGTCCAAGTATATTTTAATTATATAAACAACTGTTTTTAACCTCTCTTGTTTTATTTACATTTTGTCCATGAAAACGTATTGTTATAGTTTAACTGCATTGTATGAAAAGTAAGACGAATTCCTAGACAACAGATACGAAAAGACCATTTTTTTCTTTCAAATTTGTGGCGGGAAATTTCTTTTTCAAAATACGCTCAGAAATCCACAGAATAACAATAGTTTATCAACGAATGCGTGCGGAATAATTAAAGCGCATGTGCCAACAAGAAAATACATGTTAACCTACCTCGTTCGACTTGGTCATACCATAATTTCTTGGTTTAACCGACAACTGAAATACCGGGCGAAAATTTAAAATAGAGGGCGCTGCCATTGTGGACATGTAAGCTCACTAGTAAGTACACTTAAATCAACAGAAACCCCCTCTACCGATCTCAACGTGACTTAATAAGATTCAAGTGATATAGTGGTAGCATGACCGTCGCTCGAGCACAGCAGAATTTTGAAAAATGGAAAATTCATTCACACTATGCAATTTGCAAATAAACATGCAGCGAATAAAAATAAACCGTTGAAGCATATTAAATAATTCCAGTACCAAAAAGACAATCTCTGAACACCCTGTATATCTACCTGAGTTTGACGATGATGTAGAAATCTGAGTCTGAGATGTCTGAACGTCAGATTGTAGCGGTATTCCTTGGCTCAGTGGTTTGTTTAAAGGTTGACTAACAATGACTGATTGTGCAGCTGTTTTAGGTACCAACTGGACTGGTAAAGATAAATTGCGACCGCTTGAATCTGAGACTGTGAAAGGTGGTGGCATATAAACATATTGTACAGGATGTTCTGAAGGTGTTGATGCAACTACAACAACAGGTTGAGATCTTTCAGTATCATTTGATAAACACAATGCAGGTTGACCGGTAAAAATGGCAACTGTCACAGGTTGATTTGGAAATTGATTGGTCTGATTATGATTGTCGCCCATTTGAATAATTGAAGATTCTTTCGCTTGCGGTTTTAATATTGTTAGAGTATGATTTGATTTACTTGAAATAGTGGTAGTTTGTATACCTGATGATGACACCCACTGCGACACAGCGTCATTACTCTTAACAGTGACAATATTATTACAACTGTCACTGAAGTTACTCCATTCACCGATTTCGTTCTGGTCAGTTTTGACTTCGTTCTTGCCAACTTTCGGTGACACAGGCATTGTTTTAAAAGCGCCTCCTGTTGGCTGAAATCCTGTTATACCCGACGGATTCACGGGAGAATAATAACTTAACGTATTGGAACTAGACGTGGCGCTATATTTCGTAGTACTATCAGACGTGGGTATTATTGCTTTTATAGGTTTAGGCCTGTAAGTCACATCTGTGGAATTCTTACTCGAAACGGGACTAAAACGTTGCTGCGGAAAACTTCGATTCTCGAGAGAAGTTTCTACGTCGCTTTGCGATTCAGAATCAGAATCTGTAACCTTCTCTTTGCATTTTAGGTCGATTTCAACACCACCGCCTTCTTCACATATCACCATCTGATCGTCGTCGCTAACATCAGCTGGGTTCTCTTGAAGAACTTGACGCGAAGGCTCAGAAATGGGCGCTGGGGAATTTAACGCTTGAGGACTAACCGGAAGTTCACCGACTTCCACACTATCGCCAGTCGAACTTAACTTGCTTCTAGTTGAACCAGTCGACGATTTCCGCCTGTCTTTATTACACCTAAAATAAAAAATTACGTACTTATACTAATACACCGTTTACAGATGGAAATTACGTTACAAGAGGTAATCGACTCCATTTTTGGGTATTACTCAACTTGTTACTAAACTTAGCTTTTACCGCATATCTATACCTTAACTAATTAAGTAGCTGCCACGTGGGGAACATCTAAAACACCCAATTAAAGTAACTCTTATTCTCTGTTCCATCACTGTTACTAGAAATGTGTGTTTCTCAAGTTCAGAGAATTATTACGTCAGTATACAGGGTGAGTCAATAAACGCAACATTTTATTCGTTATTCTATAATAATTAAAACATCTATGAATCACCCGGTATATAAATATGACATCTGAGACAATATAAAATATCTGTCAAATGTAACACCTCTAAAAATGTTAATATGATATGGGCAGATGGAAAATGTTGATACACATGCACTAAATATGTTTCACTCTCATGTTTACATCATACATTTCCTGAAACTGCATTTGTATACATATGAATTCCCCGACAAATCAGTTCCATGTAATTGTAATGAAAAGATAACAATGTTATCCGTACGACACCACGATAATGAGTAAAAATTAGCGTTTAATTCACGTAATTTTTAGTCATATCGACGATGTTTAGATGTTTGGTCCCTCTAAAGTTAGCAACGTTATTTCAACGTGTTCGTGAATCCTATGACAACTCAATGTAGTAATAAAGGCGCATGATTAACAACGAACGACCTTATGATTCCTATTGGTTAGCAAACACGTTTTAGTACGATCGATTTACTCACCATTTCCACTCCGGATGCGCCTTGAAATGAGCCTCTTTCACTTCGGACGCCAACTCGTGATACTTCCTCTTCTGTTCAGGTGCCAAAGCATACCACCACTCTCCTAATATCTTAGAAACCGTTCTATTATCCTGATTCGGATGTCTCTGGTGCACCAAAGTCCTATGTCTTTTCGAAAAAATCATAAACGCGTTCATCGGTCTCCGAATGCGATCCTTGCTCTAAAAAACCCCAATTCACCAAAACAAACAACCAAATACCAGACAAACCTTGACTAAATTATTGTCTTTCGTGTTGTTTTGTAACGAACTTAGCGACTGCGTTCTGCGCTTGTTCGTCGCACTCTCGCTGATGCTATTGGTCTCGGATGCTTCGTTTTCGAAGACGTCATCGTCTTCTTCGGCTGGAATAGTCATCAGTTCCACGTCTCCGTCGTCGTCCACTTCCACTTTCGACACCGACGGGGCTGTGGGAACGGGAGGCGCAGACAGCGGGGGCGAAAGCTCGGACAACGGCGGGGAATTGGGGTCGGGACAAGCTGTCAAAATGGGGACGATCGAATGCCAAGGAATTACGAATGCGGACTGCGAATTGGCAGTGATTTTCTGTTGAGGTATGACCGGTCGGGTTTGGTTTTGAGTGAATTGAGGTGAAGTGGGATGGGGTTGGACAAGTCTTGGATGCGTCTGCGATTGAAGTGAAGCATGTTGGATGACGTTATCTTTATGATTTTGCATATTAGACACTAAAAACAGATATAGTTCCCTTGAAAAAGACTACGATCCGCTTATTTCATCTCCGCCGGTTGCGCTCTCAATAATTTGCGTGCGCAACCGACGATTAAGTTAAGTAACGTAGGGCTGGGGTACTTACCTTGGTCGGTCTTTACGATGACGGGAGCTGTTGGCTGTTGCACTGTGGCAGTTGGAATAACCTTCTTGACTACCGACTGTGAAGCAGAAGGCAAAACTGGCAACAACTGCGTCGGGTTAACTATAACTGGTAGTAGACTTGCGTTATTGGAATTCGCTTGTACTATACCAACTTCTGCGGAATGTGTATTGTTTAAATTACTAACATTATTTGATGCAACGTGAATCGTTTGCGCTTGAATTAAATGATCACTCTGAATGACCTAACAAAAAAAAAATGTAAGTATGCTATGATAACCAAAGTGACTGTAATTTACTTGTCTTTGAAATGATTTGTTCTCTTTAGGTTCATTTTCTATGTCATTTTTTATTACCATTACGTTCTTTTCATGTGGTTGGGGCATGACACAATACACAGTTCCTAAACAAAAAGTTCGTTATTATAGATAATAAAGACAGTTAGTTGTGTTGATTTACCGGATGAAATTTGGCTGCTATCTCCATCTATCGTTTGAGTCGTAGAACTTGTGAGGGCATGCTGTAATATCACACTCTGCTGTTCGCTTGGAGTAGGGCCCCATTGTCTCGGACTGGGCGACAGTCTTATTACACTGGGAACACCTTGTATAGGCCGAACAGACTCAGGCCTGATAAAAAAAAACAAGCAAATTAGTTCGCTATGTAAATACGAAATCGCATTTTCACGTCACACTTGATGGATCAGACTCACACGATGTCATGAAGAAAGTGTTCGCCACGTCGATACCTTTCGTACCAAGTTTGACAAGCAATATAAGACATACTAATAATGTGGGAAAGTGTCCCGGTAGCCAAAATTTGCGTCCACTATACATTAATGATCAAAAAACACTTTAGCACTCTGAATGTTCGCTTTCATAGAGTAGTGAACGCTGACTTTGTTCCTTGTAAAATATCGTTATTATAATCCTAAGCGGTCTATTGATTTTACCTTATTAGCGGTTGGTGATACGGCGTGTTGTACCCAGGTGGTCCAGGCGAGTTGATTTTTTGCAAGCCTGGACTAATAATGGGCATGAATACATTTTGTCTTGACCCAACCGTAATCGGAGATTGCATCGTGTGGGGTGAGGATCCTTGATGATTGGGTGAATATGCTGGAGTGGCCGAACGCGAACTACCTAATGATACTAAAACGGTAGAGTAAGAATCGTCCGTCTCGGATGGACCTGAGAAAGCGTTACCCAACATATTCGCAGCATCCGTTTCCTCTTGGTCAAAACGTCCGGTAATTCGTCTGTCGTTGCAATTCGGCGACGTTTCTGAATCTCTGGAAGTATCCTCACCATCTGCTTTACTATTAGAACGTGGAAAAGCAGGGCCACTTCGAAGACTATTACCTTTAAGGCTAAGATGCCTTGAACAATATCCCCTCCTTTGAGACTCTTTCGTGCAACCGTCTTTTGAACACAACCTCCTCCATTGTTTTCCGTTGAACTTCTTTCTGATACCGTTCGGGTTTGAAACAACGTCGCCTTTCTTATACTTATGGGGAGTAGCGGCCTGACTTCGCGGCGTCGTGGGCTGAGATCTAGGAGTAACACTACTTGAGGAACTTCCTCTACTATGCATACTACTTCTTTTCGAACTTCCTGAAAGTTTCGCGTCTACTTCCGAGTTAAAAGTAATATCACCTCTTCGTAATTCGTCTTCTTCACTTTCACAGTAATCATCGTAGGTTTTGCCGTTCGATTGTGGCGTGCAAACGGATACAGGGGTGTGCAACTGCGGGGACACCGTCGTGGGTTGAAAATATTCTAACTTGGGAGTTACGGCGTCATGGATGGGGGGAGGATCAACCAATTCGTCGTACCACGGTGGACGTAATAAGCGTAATTCGGATCGCTTCACGGTTATTTTTAATTGTTTTTCGCCTATTACAGCCACTACAAAACGAACAAGTTGCCCTTCGTTACATATATTGAAAACGACACCCTCCACGAACATTTGTTGCTGATTATGTCGGACGCACACACGCGCGCCTAATGTTACTTCGTTCTTAGACGGACTTGCGTCTCCTATTACATTGTAACATTCGTTATCGAATACGTTCGTGAAGTGGATCAGTTTTTCTTCTTTACCGTCTAGTTCTACAGTTATCTAAAACAAAATAATCACACTGAAGTTCTAATTACAAAAACAAATAGTACACGTAAAGGTGGCTACACCACATTGTTCTATCATTTGTACCGAGGACTTTGACATATACAATATTACTCAGTTTCTCAGGAAATGAATTCAACGTATTTTTGTAAACGAAACCTGGACCCTCTTTTTTCCTTGTTTTATTAATGCGTCACAAAAAACTTTGCTTTCATCAACAATGTATAAAAACGTCGGGCATTTACTAATCCGGTACAGAATTTTATATAAATATACACTTAAAGTTACAAGATGATGTTATTTTCGGAGAAACTGAAGACACGCGTCTTTAATGTACAAAATGGCAAGTTTGTTGTTTTAGAGCTTCATAATTTACAGGAGACTTAAGTGTAAGTTCTCCATTTCCGTCTGCATGTCTGACAACTTTTGCTCGTTGCGTAAATCTCACTTGGAAGTATGCACCGTGAAACATTTCCTTCCAATGGCTTAATAATCCAATAACACAAAACTATTTCTAATTTTATGGATTCGCCAAAAATAGTTTGTGCAATGAAAATTTACTATTTATTTCAGAAAATATACAATGAACGTCTTTCGAATTTTGGTGAGACAGACGACTGACGCAGCGATTACAAAACTATGAGTGTTTAATAAAAATCTGCTCTAAAATGTTAAAAAAAGTTAATTTGTGACAATACAGTTAACGTCATGGTCGGTGTTATGTTAGATGTATCAGAACTAATTTATTTATTCCTAGAAAAATTGAAGACGTCATTACAAAAAGTTATTTAGTAAACCTCATTTGAAATGGAAATTCGTAAATAACACCTTGCTTGTGATTTAAATTCTACCGTTACTTTTAATGTCGCTCGTAATCCATGTCTCAAAAAAAAATGACGTTTGCGATAAATTATCGCTTGTTGTAATAAATACAGGAAATTAATTTTTTTTTTGAGACAAGTTTATGTTCTTTGTTACACAATTTAATATTCCTTGACTGGTTACAGCTACAGATGTAGAACTAACCCACGAAGACACATTTAAATGACGACTAGACTAACTGAACACTAAGAAGCTCCAGTACGTGGTTTGAATCATTTATTTGTCCAACGATAAACAATTTACAGAGTAACATTGTTGCGAATATATGTCGAACCCGTTGATTCTCAAAATTCTGACTTGATAATACACCGCGTGATCAGAAATGACTGAGAAGACTCACTCACTTCTGATCACGCGGTATAGAAACAAAATCTTCACATCTTCGCTTCCTTTTCAATTTGATTGCGTTCTTGTGGTGTAGACTGATTTATATTATTACATTTAGTAATGGAAAGTCCAGGCCTTTCGTATCTCATCACGTGATTAATTTTTAACTTAAAATGGATAATTTGGCCATTTAATAGAATTTAAGAACGTTTTTTTCCGAAATTTACACGGACTAGTGGACAGATCAAAATGGCTCGGACTTTAATACAGTTTAGCTACGTTTTATCTACAGACAAAATAATTAATCCTCAAGCATTTTTTGCGTTAATTGCAACATAGTAATATTTTACAATCAGGTGTCATAAGATCAAATTCTTACAACTGATTTGTGAACACGTCAGATGTTTTTGCATATTTATTATCACAAACATGATTAAAGTTGAAGTAGCAAAAAATGTGCAACTGTGGGTCGTTTCTGTTTCGTTTTTATTCTTCAGTATTGTCAACTGTTTTCTGTTTTTGAGACTTGAAGATGTCAATGGCCAAAGAAATTGATAATCGATGACACAATTGGTGTGAGTCAACTCTTGCGTACACGTTTCTTCTCAGTTTGTTGTGACTAGTCAAACTAGTGTCTGAGTCAAATTTGTGACGTCACGTCACTATGTTGTTAGATCAGATGAACATTTTCCCTTTTCTTAAGGTGAATAGTGCGTATTGCACATAACCTCATATGTTACAGGTCATTTTAAGAATGAAGGGAGTATATGTTCTTGAATGGGGTATAATGTTATGAAAGTGAGATACTCACGATCAAGTATGATCCGATTACGTGTAAGACGAGTTATCGACAAGAGATTCGACTCAGTAAAGAATGAAGCTTGATTAAGTAAAGAATGTTTTTGTTTTGTGATGCAGTGTAAACATCCAAACATCACACTTTTAAAGTGACACTTGGTGCTAGGTGATTTCACTTGTTATGACTATCGGGGGAGATAATACTCACATTACTACCACAAGCTTCACGGATGACTCCCGGATAATACCAGTCTCCTTGTTTAGCAAGCACCCTGTGATTACACCACTCACTGAGATCGACGCTGTTTTGTTTATTGGTAGGACATGAATAGTCAACTGCCGTTGCTTGTGGTGGTGTTGACATAACACTTTGCACAACAGACACGGGAATGTATGAAGCAGTTGTGGTGGTTTCCTCCAACTCAGCCGGATCAAATTTTCGTTTTTTGGGCAGTTTTCGGACGCCCATATCCATGGTGGATGTTTATTGTTGCTTTTGGTTATGTTCACACTTTATTACGAATACGTTCTGAACGGTTTTCTCGAGGCATTGTCATTGCATCTTCTATTTGTCAACATAGCTTCTGTGTGTATCATTTATGAAGATGTCATTTGTTGACTGACATTGGTTAATTTTGGAAGGGTTTAGCGCGACAGCAACCTGTAAATCAGCGAAAATTCTGTTAATCCACTCATGCTCTTTATATAAACGTCGGCTGCAGAGCAATAATAATAATAAACACCTACTGTTTTATGAATGGATGTTATTATACTACTGCATAGTAAATAAATATATTTAGCCGTCATGTAGCTGATACTACATAAACACGTGTATATTTCATTAAATCCTATCACAATACTGCTTCAACCGTCTATTAATAGGGAACATTCACTACTTGTCTGTTTCTATTACCTAACGTTTTATTTCAAAGAATCACAACTTTTCGCGACACCCACAAAACGCAGACACAGAAACAGAACACTCCCCTTCACCCTTCCTTCCCCTCGCACTCCTACATTTCGTGTTCATGCGTACCAAACACGATCACACGATCCAAGGAGATGTTCTCGACAAACTCTCAATTTCACAAAGCTAGGTTTACATTATCTGGATTTACGCGATTCCCTCACTCAAATTTTCACTCTTCTTCTCTTTCTTTCACACTTTCATCCCGAAGACGTTCGCCGGCGAACAAAAATAACCAATATTAACCTAGAGTGCTTTGGATTAGAACCTGCACAAGGCCATTGCCACCATTTTGATAAAAGGCGCCAATCCGAAATTTTAAACCATCACCTTCAAACAGGTTCGTCTGTGGTAAATGAAGCGAAAACTACGTCAAAATACGACACAATGCCGGCTTTACGTAAAAACTGCGTCACAACATACCATGCTAATGCCGACGGCAATGCATACATTCGAAGATTTTATTCGCGGAAGAAATTTTATTGCCGTTTTTCTCGCTTCTTGGAAAGATGAAGCGGACTGAAGTGCCGAAAATTTATTGAGAGGATACGTTGTCCGGCGGATCGCATTTGAGCAACGTTGGTTGCTGAATTTGTTCTACAGACAGAGGAATGATATAGACTGCGCATCGATAAAAAAAGTACGAGATCCTAGCGTACACCCCTACACCTAAACAGAATCTCTCAACCCAAAATGTGCTACATTAGAAATAAATTTTGAAAATAACCACTTGTCAAATAAACTGTAAAAACTTTTCAGACTTTGGTGTATTTACATTTGAGTGGGAATTTTCCGTGGTTTAGATGACAAAACAAACTGAGTGCGCGAAATTTGAAAAGTACAAAGTTCTGGTAGAGACTCTCTATGGTCTGCACAGTTCAAATAATAATAATAACGATAACACTAATAGTTTATTTATCCTTGAAAATTTTACAATTTTGTGGACAAGTAAATGGTTTAAAATTGAAAGAAATTAAGACTTTCCTGAATCTAGTACCACAACTAGCTCGGTTTAATACTGTAGGTAGTGAATATATTTTTTTTAGTATTACAGATAGACTTACCTGACGAGCCAACAATCCCTCCTACGATAGCACGTACTGCTCTTTTTTGCAAAATAAATATTTTCTATAAGTAACAATTGGCGGCATTCCCACAAAATAGATGGTGTAAGAAAGCACTGACTGAAATAGAGCAAAGCATGTATATATACAGTGTTTTTTTTTTAAAGCTGGCCATAGGGATTTATGTGCTAAAACATTGGGTCTTGTTATAATGGATAGTGAAATTTGGCAGAATATTATACTAGTATTTTATAAATCAGTTTCAGTTCAGCACAGAGCTAATTTCGTAATTATTTTGTTCTGTACTATAAAATGAACTGTAATTAACTTATAAATATGTATTAGTCTAATTTTCTGCCAAATTTCACCTGGTAAGAACCCACTAACATGACCCAAAGTTTTTAGCATGTAAAACCCTACGGCCAGCGTTAAAAAAAGCCACCATGTACATACATAATACATGTACGATAGACGACAAACATACGGAAACGGGAGACCTATTTTTTCTTACTGTTCGAAATTAATTTACTGAATCATCTTCGTCCAAGTTCTTTATAATTAACTAAACACTTTTATTTGTTATCGGACTGAGCCAGTTTGTACATATATTTGTTTATTTTCTTTTGTTAAATTTTATGATGAAGGTAAACGGTTTTATTCCTTTCTGATGACTTATTTATTTAAGTATCTTGTAAAAATTAATGTTCTCTAAATCGAGTTAATTGAGGGTCATTGTTTTTGATTTTGACATTAATAACATTCAACCACTATGTCTTCTGTTAGATTCAACAGGATCGCAAAAATGTATGGAAACGGTTAAAATCTTGAGTACAAATCAACTGAAATTAGGTATAGGAGTACAAGAATTATTTTGCTTCATTTGTTTTCGAGATGCAAGGCCAACTTTATTTTTTTTACTATTTACTACTATATAATTTATCCATTTTTGAATGGAACTTTTTTTTCTGATATGATCAAATGTAAAAACTAGCCCAAAAGCTATAAGGTTATATGACCATCATAAAAGTAGTTGATCGCAAATAAATACCCCCTTTTTGTGGTTCGCACTAAGTTTACCGGTTGGCTAAATCATCTTCTAAACATTCTTGCGGGCCGGCTTTCAAAGCGAGTGGTTATTTCGGAACCCTTTGCGGCTGCAGGTAGTAGTAGTAAGTAATTAGATATTTAGTGAAAGCCACCCCTGAATGAACCGACAGCAGCCGGTCGAGCTGCAGTGGACACGTTATTTACGACCCTAAAACCTTTTCTATTGAAAAAACAAATTATCTTCGACGCAATGGGATGATTTTATGATGGCCATATAACCTTATAGTTTTTGGGGTACTTTGAATAGATCCTATCTTTTGTCTACCTACCCTACGCTCCTACTTTCTCTTCCAATTTCTAGAATTTTCTAAACTGTTTCTTTACCTACCTTCACCTCTCCAACACCGAACCTACCTGTCGACCACAGCTGTCGACCATTTAAACACCCTTCTTAATTTTCTCCCTCGAGCTCTCCAATCGCAAGGATCAAATAGAAGATCTGAAAACCGTAACGATACCCACATTGAATTCACTGATATAGCACAATCATACTTTCTTTCTGACTGAAATGGTAAAATAAATTATTAAACAAAAATTAAATAAATTATCAATCAATAATTAATAGTAAACAATAAATAAATTCACGAATAACAACCGAAACCAAAATTAAATTTCTGTTTTTGTGGCGGCACAATAACAGGTTGGTAAGCGGGAAAGATAAGCTCCTCCATAGTCTAGTGGTAAGGGCACCCGCCCGGCAAGCGATTCCCACCGAAGAAGCAACATTTTTCTACAAAAGAAACTCAAAATGCTCTCCAGCAGTAAAAAAGACGCAGAATAAAATTTTGTAGTGCGTTAATGAGAATTTCTGGACGAATTCTAGCAATTTCGTTACGTATGCGTTGCTATAAGTCTTCAATGTAAATCGATCTATTGATATAAACGCGATTCTTCAAATACCCCCCCCCCCAAAAAAAAAGTCAAGCGGTGTCAAATCCGGTGACCTGGCAGGCCACTCAATAGTACCCCGGTCTATCCATCTGTCAGAAAAAGCTTCATTTAAGTACTGTCGCACTTGACGTCCGAAATGGGGTGGGCCATCGTCTTGGACGCTGTGTGTGGATTTGGACCCTATTAAACAAAATTCTTCTTGCTAATAAGTACAAAATGACAAAATAAATAATAATAACTTAAAAAAATAGGAGACACACAACGCTGGCACCAGACATACGAAGACAGTACGAAAGTAAGACAAATTAACGGCGCTACTGCTCTATGTTTCCATCTCCCGAGAGCTATGAATAGACTCGACCAACGTAACTTGCTTTATTGCGCAACCTACGTGATGGCCCTTTTCGTTTTGATTGTCGCTCTACCAGTACGGCGTGAAAAAAAATGCCCGGTGTAGGATTCGAACTCACGAAACTTTTAGGGTACCCAGAACAATTCCAAGCTGTCTTGATTACGACTAATCAGGCTTATGTTGAAGAGGAGAAATAATAGCTAAATAAATTTAAAAAACCACATGGACCTACGCCTCCGTCGCTCTGTGGGTTAGACCTTAGATCCCCACAAAAAAGAAAATGTTGCATTTCATAGCATACATTGTAAAATTTTGTTGTTGTTATACAAATTCCTTTTTTTTTTTTCGAAAATGCCATTTTAAACGTATTTTTAAGTTTCTAAAAAAATGTCATCACAATTAAGATGAGGTGGGGGGGCGTGGTTTATATTTTGGCTTTTTTCTTCATATACATATTATTCTTTGAATAATCCGGTACTGAAAAACATATTTTTTATTTCTTGTAAAGAAATAAGTATTTTGCAGTTAAGTTTCGTACTCTTGGTTCACGGTGAATAAAAAAATCATCAGAAATGAGATAGGGCGGGTGGGCGGGCTTACAATTTGCCTTTTTGTTTTAATATTGTGTAGACTTTTTTCAAAATATAAAACTTAAACATGTTTAAAATGGAAAATTTGTATAAGGGAATATCGATTAGGCTCAACCCCATAATTGCAAAATCCATATTTCCTTGCAAAAATGTATCATTTTAACCGTGTTTTAAGTTTCTTGTTGTGAAAATATGGCTACGTATATTAAAAAAAAAAGGCAAAAAATGAGCCCCACCCACCCACCCTATCTCAATTCTGATGATTTTTTTTATTCATCGTAAGCCGAGGGGGGGAGCTTAATTGCAAAATCCTTATTTCTCCACAAAAAATAAAATCATGGTTTTAAGTATCGTCTTGTTCAAAAGAGACTATATATGTTAAGAAAAAAACAAGACAAAAATTAAGCCCCACCCATATCCATCTCAATTCTCAGTTGTGATGAATGGGCGGAAATGCCAAACCGATATTTTTCTGTACAAATTTACCATTTTAAACATATTTTAAGTTTCTTGTTGTCGAAATAAGTTTACAAATGTTCAGAAAAAAAAGCAAAATGTAGAACCGCCCACCCGCCCTATCTCAGTTGTGATGATTTTTTTATTCGTCGTGAGCGAAAGGGGCGGACCTTAACTGCAAGATCCATATTTGTCTACAAGAATTTACCATTTTAAACATGTTTTAAGTTTCTTGTTCTGAAAAGACGACTACGTATATTACGAAAAAGGGCAAAATATAAGCCCCACCCACCCACTCAGTTGTGATGATTTTTTTATTCGTTGTGAGTTAAAGGGACAAGGAACTTAACTGCAAAATCCATATTTCCTTATAAAAATTTACCATTTTAAACGTATTTTATGTTTCTCAGAGAAAAAAAATCATCATAATTGAGATGGGGTGGGTGGGCGGGGTTTAATAATGAAATAAGTATTTTGCAGTTAAGTTCCGCCCCTTTGGTTCACAGTGAATAAAAAAATCATCACAATTGAGACAGGGTGGGTGGGCGGTCTCATGGTAGAAGGAGACATGGTATAGGCATACCATTCTTAAAATAGATCTAAAATTGTGAAATTGTCGGCGGAATATAGTACATACTATATTCATACTTTCCTGTATTATTGGTTGCCTATCTCAATTTTTATCTTCTAAAGGATAATTACGAGAAGTATTATTATAACAAATCATTTCCAGATTTCACATTTTCATTTAATTTGTAGGTTATTTA